CATTGGCTCATTCACTCGGGCAAATTTGCTTGTGGTTGGCGTCGAACTTTTAATGTCTGTGGGTAAATGAACCTCCTCCATGATCAGGATACACACGTGTGCGGTGTGTGTACATTTATTGGCTTTTTAATGAACTACAGAGTCTTCAGTCATTAATTAGACGCATTTTTTTTTTTCAATTTAAACAAATTTTGCTATACAAAGTTTAATAAACATATAGTATTTATATTTTCACATTTGCAAAATTCAATTTGCATACATGCGATGCTGGTTTTAAGATTGAGAAGACCAAAATGGGCAAGTAGCGCATGTTTCAAAAGTGGTTTCAACTTGTGACATCGATTCGCTCGGAGATAAAACAGTTAAATTGGCTCTCTACTATCCACTACTATCATTTGTTTTTGTCGTTTTTAGTGGCATCCAAAATTACAGTTTGTATATTTTAATTCGTCATCATTGCTTTTTTGCTCGCAACGCTTGCTTATTTGTTCAATTCAGTTTTAATTATTCTTCGTCTTGTTTGCTCGGCTCAGTTTTTTTCTTCTGTAAATTGTTCGATGGTGTCCGTTTCGGTATTTTTGATTTGATTGATTCATATCTCATTTGTCTTTCAAAAATTTGAGATTGCACGCAACAATCAAAATACTGAGATGTAAGAAATAATGTCTGATCAAGCGTAGTTTAAGTGCCAAGCGAGAGAGACGCAGACAATTGTACTGTGTGATGCCGCGTCATTTTTTTTAAGATGCCACACAGTCGACAATTTGAAGAAAAAACAACATATTGTTATTGATACTAATCCGTATACCATGGGGCGGTGTATGATTTGATTTCACCGTGACAGCAATGATTAAATTGAAAAGAAGCGACGAACTAATTCAAAGAATACTCAGCAACAACATTTTCTCGCAACAGAAAATAACTTACCGTTCAGCGCATTCCATTCAATTATCTATAAGTCAGGAGGAAAAAAAGAAATCTAACAACTTCATAAGACATTCAATATATATATTTTTTTCATCAATCAAATTTTATTCATTTTCATTTCAGTTAATGTTTGTTGATATATTTTTCTTTTATTTTTCAGCATATCCTGATTGTGTTTTCAATTTGTATGTTTCGTTGGCTAATAAAGGGACGCGCTCTGTTATGGCTCTTTTACATGTTTTATGTTCATTGTTTGCTCTCATTTATTGATATTAGCGCCATTCTTTCATTCTAATGAATTGTTAATTATGTTTCTTAATTTTCGTTTCCTCATGCTAAAGATCCCTGACTTTATAGACTAGTTGTTGTTTGTTGTTGTCATCAATATATTTCTGGATTTTTATTTGTCGCGCAATAAAACGAGAAACTACATTGCAATATTTAACAATCAACTCAATTAATTTCTTTTATGAAAAAGATTCTTGCAATAATTCGTTGATATTTTTAGAAAATGGTGACATTTAAATGTCGTCAAGATCGATGTTCTCAGTTAATTACACATAAACAATGCAATGTTATTTCTCGTACAATTGCGCATCATGTGCACTATTACTGAAAAAAAAATATAGTTCACAATGACGAAAATAACGAATTAATCAGGGAAAAAATTACATTTACAATATATTAGCTTCGTGAATGTGATTGATAATACTTAAGTGATAAATTGCAACGTAAACAACTGTAACGAAAAAAAATCTGTGTAAATTGCCTTACTCCTTCGCATTGAAGGCTTTTATCTATTGCACAAAGGCTATGTTTAAGTTAATTGTAGTGGTATTTGTTAAGTAAAATCGATCTTGAAATCGATTTCATTAATTTAACTAAAAAAATGTTGCTAGATTTGAAATATAACAGAATGAGTATCTTGTCATCGGCTTCTATATGCTACACCTGCCTCATTATAATTCGAATTCGTAGTACCATTGAATTGTTGAAAATATGTGACTTAGATTTTATTCTTAAAAAAAAAAAGATCATATTGAAACAATTTTTTTCATTTTTCCAATTTGCAATGGTTTTTTCTCCATTTTTTTTTCGTTAAACACTTAATAGATTTTCATTTTACTTGTAAATCATATCGAAATGTACACACTAAACATTCTGCATCTAAGGAACATGACATTTTGGAGTAAATGTGTGTATAAATAAAGCAATAAAAGTTACTTATTGACATTTGTATTTAAAATTTAATACTTTTGAACTTCTTTTAGTGCACGACAATGATAGCTGGGCAACGCAGCAACTTCATTATGGTTGCCACTGCTTATGTACCATTTTTGATTTAGGCGATCGAAATGTGTGCCCTTTTTTAGTTTCGCTGGCAACCGCACCATGACGCTACTTTCATCGTCGCGTTTTGGCAAAAGATACTTAACTACACATTTACTCCAAAATGTCATGTTCTTTAGAGGCAGCATGTTTAGTGTGTGCATTACATTCATAGATATTTTGCAAGAAAATTGAGATTTATGAACTAAATTTTAATTTCTAAAATAATTGCCGGAAATTGTTTTTTCGTTCGTTTATGAACGTTTTTCTTGCAATCACTCACAAAGATATGAAGATAAATAGAGACGTCAAAATTCAGAATTTTGCGGCAAAATTGATTTTTTTCAAAAATAAGATATGTGAATAAATCGAATATTGCGAAGTCATACACGTGAAAAATGGTTCATTTAAACGAAATTAAAAAGTTTTGAGGATAGAAAGATATGTGAATTCAACACAGATCGACAAAGACAGATATGGACAATATATATATGCTTATTCTATATTTAAAAAAAAGAAAATCTTCTTTAAACTTTTCAAGTTAGATTCGTCACACTTCTTTAAGCGGACGCTCACTCCTTCCGATACACTGAGTCAATGAAGTATACATTTGTTGTTTTGTTCGAAACTACTCTTGCGTTATGCATTACAAAATCCAGTGAGAATTTAAATTGCAATGAAATTACATCAAATGCCTTTAAACATTTTTTTTAAAATTTCGTTTGAATTTCTCATTCATATTTTCTACTTGCTAAAAAAAGAACCACCACTTTACATTACTCTTAAATCGTTTGGCCAAAGGACTGTTTGACATTTTTGAATTTTGTCTGGATTTGATATACTTGATAAATTTGTGTACACATTAGTGATCGAGATTCGGTGAGATGATCCATTAAACCAAAAGAAATGAAAAGAAAAAAAAATGTTTACCTGAATTAAAATAAATAAAGATGAACTGAAACAAAAAACAATATGAAAACTGAAAAAAAGAAAATCAAAATAATAAACAACAAAAATGTGTGCATGTGTGTTTTTTTCGTAAAAAAGACAGTCTGATATCTTTTATTTTTATTCTGTTTAGGTCGTTTGTCTTAAAAACTTGATTTCCACATGGAGCATCATATTATATACAATAAGTAATAATCTAAGTTTCTAATTGTTGGATAAATCACGAAACACAATTCATTCTAAATATACGAAATGATAAACAAAATAATGATGAACAAAAGACAAAAGAAAATTGTGCAAATGAAAAACAAAAAGGCATTCATGTATAAACGGAACAAAAATTGCTAACAAAAACAGTGTGAATAAAAACAGAGCCACATTCGATAAAGAATTGGCTGCTTATATTTGTCTACTTTGCGTACACTTTGATTGGCTTTATCTCTCCCTCTCCCCCAAAAGCGGGAAGAGAAAAATCTCCTTAAAGTTTCTGTTTGCACTATTTTCTTATTGTTCAGTTTGTTTCATTGTATTGTTTTGTTATGTTTATGCTTTAGAAAACTATTAATCAACTCTTGTGCTTGGTGAGGTACTTGCGTTATGTTGAGGTACCGTTTGTATTTTTTTTAGTCCTTTCTCATTTCTATCTTTGATGAATTCCCAGTAAATCTTACAGAAAATGTCGTACAATATAAATGGGCTAAGCTAAGAGTAACTCTGAGTATAAATCTCTTTTATTGTGGTAAAGTGTAAATAGATTCTTCTCTTTATTTTTTTATTTATTCTTCTCTTATCAATTGTTTCAATAGTTTAACTGTGCTTTTGATAGTATTCCTTTTTTTCTCTCTCGCAACACATTTGCATATACAAGCGTGATTTTATGTTTCTCTCTATGTTGTTTTTCTTCGTTAGAACTTTAAGTACTAATTAATAGGCGATTTCCCTTTGACTTCATTCGTTTTATTTATACAGTTCCACTTGTTATTTATAGATTTACATTTATCTTTCACTTTACTGACACTGAGTTTTTTTTTATTATTTAATTATTTTTCTTTTAAAATTATGTGTTTTTTGTCTCTTTTTTTTGCCACTTATTTGCTAAAATTCAACACCAGCATGTGCAACTATATTTAAACAACATAAAAAAAAACTGATGAAATGAACAAAAACAATTGGTAAGATATATGTAGCTCTGTGTGTCGTAGTCACATTTACTCTGTTTATTTATCATTTGTATCAAATATGGTTAACGGTTTGAATATTTTCTAGAAGTATTTAACAAGTTTTGTGTTCATTTTATTCTGTTTTTTATTATTATTTCTTTTATCTATGGCATGTTTATTCTTTGCATTTTTCCGACTCGGAATGCGACGAAGTATTGCATACAAATTGATATTAATACAAAAAAAACTCTCTTGAATTGCACTATATATGAATCCATTACATGTGTTTTTTTTTTCTTTCGATTTTTTGCTCGTATGTGAACAAACGCGAATCATTAAAATCGTTAATAACAAAGAGAGAGAGAGAAAAAGAAAGCAAAATTAGAAAAAAATATCAATCAGTCGCATTGAATCGACATTTCCGAGTGTGCAATATACATTGACTTTGCAAAAACCTATGGTTTTTAGGTTTGAAAAACAGAAAGGTTAATTGCGATTGACTACTCTCTATTAAAATTTGGCTAGCTGATTTGACTATTTACTTTGAAAAAAAAAGTAAAAGAAGAAACAAAAAAAATTGTGTTCTGTTCTCATGTTCAAATTGATGTGAACATTTGTGTGGCATTTCGCTTGTGATTTTTTTTTCATCGGTTTATCATATTGACATTAAAAAATGCTATAAGTTTTTGAGGTAGTGTAAATAAATGTTCTAAAAACATTTTTATCGTATATTTCAATTCAATGCAAAAAAGAATATCGTATGATGAGGCTCTGGCATAAAATTCACCCCAAAAATAATGTTTGACTCAGTTTTACATGCAAATACATTACAATATTTAAATAATCTTTTCAAAAAATGTCTTATGGTGTGTCTTTGTTATTTCTTCTTCTGTTAGATTTCTATTTAGTTTTCGCTCTCCTTTTAAATTATTATATAGTATATTTCAATTGAGGTAGATGTTTGAACTGTTTGCGCAAATGAATCAGTATTCAAAATTTAAAACCAAGTCTGCAATGGAGTGCGCTACTTTTTGACTCGATTGAATGTTTTCTTTGTTCTCTTTTTTTCTCTTGGTTTTAGTGAGCATTGCGTCGATCGTGGATTGTTTGTACTTGACTCGATTAACTGGTGCATTCAAATCGATTTCGAGGACATATCCTCTTTGCTTCTTTGTCACTGTAGATCAAACGACACAAAAGAAAAAAACGACAAGAAAATTAAACGGAGTTTCTGGTATTCAAAAAAATGTGTTATTATGATCTCCGATTTTTAAGCGCAATGATGTAAAATATGCAGAAAGAAAACAAAAAGTTTCGAATTCAATTAAATCGTGATGTTTATGAAATGTTAACAAATGGTAGGAATGTTTGTTCAAATTGGCTATCAACACTGACTGCTTAATTTTAAAATTCTTCTTTTTTTCTCTATACAATTGAATGATTTTGCAAACAGAAACAAAGAAAAAAAAAATAACGGTATACTTAAAATAATATGAAACAAATAGAAATCTTCTTTTTTTTCTCTTTTCAAAAAAAAAAACGTTCAAAGAAATGATTAAACATAAAAATAAAATAAATGTATCTTTACGGTAGAGCAGTAATTTGAAAATTATCAACAATTAATTTCTTTTTCTTGAGATTTGAACTGTTGGTATTTCGTTTCTTAGCTTTATTATTATTATTAATAGTAGAACTATTGGTATTTTGCTTACCGCCCAATTGTTCAAATTTTTCCGTCGATGACAGTTGCTCGTTGGTTGGTTTTTCTTCTGCCGCTGCTGCTGCTGCTGCTTTCGCTGCTTTGGCTTTTGTTGCCGACGGTGTGTTTGAATCGCCACCGTTTTTTCGCTTTAAATGTGTAAGACCGTGTTTGACCATGTGATCTTTGCGTATGAAACCCTTTTGACATATTTCACAAATGTATGGTTTGGTGCCCGTGTGCAAGCACATATGCCGCCGCAAATCGGTTTTGTGATTGAATTGTTTAACACATTGATTGCATTTGAATGGCTTGTTTCCATTGTGTTTTGCCATGTGCTCGGTGTGCGTTTGATCGCATGGAAATCGTTTTCCGCATCTCTGGCACTTGAACGGCTTTTCACCGGAGTGAAATGTTTTATTGTGTTGCGTTAAATAACAAGCTTTGTTGAAAACTTTATCACATGGATCGCACCGTAGTGGATCGTTTCCCGCTGGTATTGTGTCTGTTATTAATTTTGATGTATCAATAACCGTACGACGTTTATTTGTTTTGCGATTTTTTCCATTTGTATTGGCATTGTTTGTGCATTTATTTGATGGAAAGTGTTCAAATGCATTGGTTGATGTGATGCTTGGTGAACTTGGCTCATTGCCAATGGATGCTTCATTTTTTGGAATATCGGCCGTACAATGATTTGGTGCATTTGGCGATAGGTGTGATGGCACAATTTCACCCGATTGTGGTGATTGATATGACACTGACATTCGTTTGTCTGGAATGTCGGGTGAAAATGGTGGAACTGTATCGGCATGCTGAATGTCATTGTTTAATCGCCGCAATGCAGTTATAGCCGGAATTGTATTCGGAAAGCATTTAATGTCTTTTTCATCGTCACTTAGATTATGATAAACGTTATCATAGTGCTCATCATACTCATTGCTATAGTATGACATGGGTGGTGTTGTACTTTGATTTGAATTACCTGTGTGCATCATATGATTACCAATAATATAGTTCGGGTCCTCCGCCGGTCGCTGCATGTGCGGATACGATTGGGTGATGCTGGTGTTGATAGTTATAGGCGTTATGATGTTGCAATGCTCCATTGAGGTGATGCTTTGCATGATGGTGGATTCCGGTAAAATTTGCTGCATCTGCGGCACCTGGATAAAATCCTGTACCAACAATTGACTGCTGTTGTTGCTGCTGCTGTGAACTCCCGTGAGGTCCGAGTAAGTCAGCAGGTCTCTCGGCTGGGAGACAGGGCCGCAGAGACCTGCTTGCGCGTTTGGGTGAATCGAAGCATTGGATTGCATTGAGTTTGGGTATTGTTGAAACCCCATCGGATTCGTTGGTTGTGATTGTGGCGCAAACGGTGTGAATTGTGATGCAAATTCGGTTGTTCGTGTTGAATCAATGTTTGGTAACGTCGATTGTTGTTGTTGTGGTGGTGCTTGTACTTGCTGTGCCGATTGCTGTTGTACAATCGAATTGTTGTTGTGAGTCGTTTTATTATTGTTGTAACGATGATGTTTTGAATTTGGATCACGAGCCGGATGATGGTGTGCACTGATCGGTAAAGTGGCTGGATCTGGTTGACCACTCGATTTCACTGCATTTTTGTGTAAAGTTGTATTGTAATGACGCTTCAAATGGCCTGAACTGGTAAACCATTTATTACACGCGGTACAATTGTATGTTTTTGGTCGACGCGCTTCATTCGATTTCCATGAAGTTGCCTTCATAATCGGTCCTCCATTCGGCAACGATGAAGTGGCAGCTTCAAAAGTACGAAACTGTGGTCCATCTTGTGGCGTTGTTGTGCTCGGAAATTCGGATGGGCTTGTTTGACTACCATCACTGCCACCAAATGATTTCGACAATTCCGATTGCGGTGGATTCGTTGGTGTGCTTGGCAATTGTGTGAGATGATGTGGTGCCTCCTGTTTAATGATTTGCGGTGAAAATTCATTTTTAATCGAACCAAACATTGGCGGTTTCAGATCATTCTGATTGTGATTTGACGGAATCGGTAGAAAACTATTGGTTTCGTGTGGCGGTGGCGGTCCGTGCGGTGGCCACATCATCGGCCTTTGCATCGGATGAAGTGAATGCATTGGCGGCAATGGCCCTTGTTGGTTCATATCGTGAGGTGGATACACCATTTTTTGTGAATCCAAATCGAGAATATCGCAATCTGGCGGATGTGGTTCTTCTTTTGGTTGGGCAAAGTTTGAGTATTGGAATGATGGAATATCATTTTCGATGTCACCGTTTCCACCACTACGATTGATCGTTGATTCACTTGAATTATTTGTGGCATTATGGGCCGTTGCTTGATGTTCAGCCAATTGTGAAATGGTATCGCAAACAACGCCACACTTATCGCATTGTCTTGGCGATGGTGACGGTGTCGGTTGGCTATTTTGTGGTGTTTGTGCCATTGACGATGGAACCGTGGTCGAATTCATTAAATTATTTTGAATCGGACTCGATGATGTCACAACACTTGGACTCATTGAACTTTGGGCGGCGGCTGCTGAAATAGCTGCTGCAGCAGCAATTGCTGGCCCATTTTGTGATTGATTATGCTGTGCATTGTGATTGTGGGGCGCATGATGCGATGGATACGGATGATGTACCGTTAAACTATTCGACATAGCGCCATATGGATGAAAGCGATTCGATGAAGGCACAGTTTTGTACTCGGGCTGTGATTGCGATGCCGACAATGTATAGTGCGACGTTATTGGCGGTAAACCGTACTCAATCGAATGCTGATGATAATACTGATCGTAATTTGACATATAGCTTGGATAATGCATTTCACTTGGTTGATGATGATAATTTGGTAACTGATTCAAATTGCTATTCACGTTTGAAAACTCCTGAGAATGCCGATTATAATGATTATTTAATGCTTGTTGTTGTTGTTGCTGTTGTTGATTTGTTTCACCATTTGCCGTGGATTGCGGTGTCGGTGGCTGATTATCACTTGAATCAGCTGCCGCTGAAACGGGCTGATTGTGATTATTGTGGATATGTACTTGCAATGATTCACTACTATCAAATGTAACACCACATGTATTACAAAAATTATTGTTCATACTGCGTTGCTCAGACGGAGGAACATTCTGTGTTCCTCCGTGTGCCATATTTTCTCACACAAAAACTGTCGCTGTTATTCGCGCGTTTTAACATTAATGTACACTTTACATTCGGTCCTCAAAATATTTAAAATGTGATCCACGTGATTTAATTGTTTGATTATTTATTTATTTTGTTTCGCTCGAATTTGAATTTTATTATTTTTTTTTTTTTAATTTCCATTCACATATTAAACAACCATGGATAACGACAAAAATTAAAATTAAACAAAAAAACAAAAAAAAAACTAAAAAAATGGAATTTGTTTCTATTGTTTATCACATGAGTTTTTTTTAAGTGCCAAAAATTGTTGCCCTTTTATATTGTCCAAAGATAATTAGTAAAAAAAAAACGAAAGAAAAACGGTTTTTTTGGGTTGGCAGTAGAATTTCGAATTGGTTGTTAAAAAATTTGAATTTAATTCTCGAGACAAATGTAACGGACACGTCTACCTCCTTTGACTTTCGAAATACAAATGAGTGTATATGTTGTGTGCCGAACTGAAACCAAACGATAAATGAATTTACCATAAAAACTGACTGACTGAATGTTTGCGTTCCAGTTGTATTGTGTTGTGTTGTGATGCGATGTGCTGTGCTGTGCATGTATGTGTATGTGTGTTAAAAGAGTGATGCTGCTGCTGCTGCTGCTGCTGCTGCTGCTGTTGCTGGTCTGTCTCTATGTGTGTGTTACAGTACGCTTTGTATTTGCTGTTCGGCCAAGTGGTATTCCTCTCGGTTTTATTGTGTCGTTTTCTTTTTCGTCCCATCCAAATCTATATATTATGTGTGCGTGCATGTGATACTAGCCCGCTTCGATGCCTATTTGCTACCTAAATATATTTTGCGTCCCATTCGCTCGCAACAAAATTTAAACTCTGTACCGCATCGTACATAAGAATAAGAGCCGACAACATGAACATGCACACACAAATATACACATAAAAAGAGCGAGCGAGAATGATACCTAAGTGCACGGCAAATATAAGTGCCAATATATATATATATATAGATATGGAAGGACTGGCAGTTAGAGTAAGAAAAAAAACTTGTATACATATATTAACAAATGCCGTTGAGTATCCATATTCGGCCACCACGTCGTACGTGCCGATACCAATACACGTACACAGGAAAAAGAGTGAAAAATAAAAAGAAAGGGAAGAAATCACCATCATCGGCAGCCTATGCTGTATATTTTGTTATAAGCTGATCTCCATGTACGCACATTTTGAAAATATTGTAGCATGCAGGACTTTACACATCTTATACATCTTATGTTCTTCGGTGCCGAATTTTGTGCGTTATAGTATATAAAAGAGAGCGGAGAACGAGATGGAGACACACACAATTTAATCATCGTGTAAAGGTTTGCAAGATCTTTTTGTGCTGTTTTTGGGTTGAACAGTGACGGCGACACCGATAATGAAGTGTAGCCGGAGAGGGACAACAGATTACAAATTTTCGAATTTTCTACCAAGACAAGCATATATAAAGATGCCGCTATTTGCCATCGATGTATCTCCTTCTCACTCAGAGAACACGTTCAAATTTCTATGTACGATATTTTTGGTTTATTTCAGACATTTCACACACATGCACATACAATCATTACATACAAACTAACTGGACGTCTCATTTGGCATCAAAATTTAAGCAAATACTTTTAAATCAGCTCTCATTCTCCTGATATGTCTGTTTCACTTGCGCGCACACCACTCTCTCAGTAAGCTTCGTACGCAACGCATTTGTCTTGGGATTGTATTGTTTGGCAACCCATTTACGCACACATGCACATGTCAGACTCTCGTTAAAAATGAAGCACAACATTAAACAATGGATGGTGACTGTGTATTGGAAATAGATGCGAAGATCGAATAACGCTTGAAAGAGACATAAATTCGTTTTGCAAGGAGAATACTTTTTTTTTGCTGCTTGTTTTGTTCTTCTCTTTCAATAAATATTTCAATCATGTAGGTAAATCGATTTTGCTTCTAAAATCCAAATAAAAACGTTGTTTTGCTATGCAAACGAAGTGGGATTCATAATCAGCTTGCGATTTTGGTTGTTTCGAATTTGAAACATCTATCTTGCAAGGAGGGCCGAAAAAACAACGAAAAGCATGCACAACAAAGACAGAAAAAACTTTTTTTTACAGCTCGACCAAAATAAGCAAAACACATTAGAAAAAGAATAAAAAAATTTCCAAGAAAACTAAAATCTTCAAATTATTAATGTGTTTTGTACGAAAATGTGGCTTTCTACACAAATCCAATGGTTCGATTCTAATTGCTCATAATGAATATGTAATCTAAAAATGATGTCTCATTTAATTTCGATTATTTCCCACCAAAATTATGGTTACTCCGTACTGATTGCAGCAAATTTCATGTTGTAATTGAAAATTGATAGGTGCAAATGATTCGGTCGGTTGGCGTCAATCGATACATTAAAAAAAATGCATAATTTTCAATTGACTTTCTTTATCTCTAATGACGGTGACCACATAATGATTATTATTGGTGTAGTAAATGAACTGCCATTACCATTAAAATTTTAGAATTTTCATTGGAAAATGTTCAAACATTGATTTTTTTCAATCAACTAAATGTTTTTAGCTTGCGGCATAATAATAATAACATTTCATTGGCGTGTTAGTTTTAGATTGCGTTTGTCAACGTTATTCGAATAACTCTAGTTATGATCTGTCTCGTAACGTCTATTTCACTTTCATTTCTTTCTTTTTTTTTCTTCGAAGTAATAATTCAAAAGAATGACTTCCATATGATCTATTTCAAGTGATTTTTAGATGATATATTTTTTTAATCACGCTCTCTGTACCAAAACTGGTTACGAATACGTACGTGCCATTTATTCAGTCGACGTGCATGTTTTTATTTCGGCGCTTTGGATGAAAGTAAGCGTGAATTCAAGAGAAAACCAAATCACATTTAGTATGTCGTATTATACAATTAGAAAATAAAACTAATTTTGATGTGAATGTTTGTTGGTATTGTGGCTCTTTTGCATACTAAGGGAAATTGGGGGTCGACTGATACCTTTTTGTTTGTTTGGAAACATAAAATTAAATTGTCTTCTATTTGTAATGGAGTGTATGTCCCCACGTCCCCTATTTATTTCGATTGTACTTCGTTTGTTGAAATGATTTTCGTTGTAATCTCTAAATAGACTAGACTTTATGTATGTCGGTTGTTTTCACACATGTCTACGGCTAATATCAAATAATGAGTTCGAAGCTTCACCACTGATTATTATTAATTGTATATTTTTGATTGGAATCCGATTATGTTGAAATCATATTCATGACGCACAAAATCGCACGCATTAACTGAATCAGTTGATAGAGGGAGAGAGAGAGAGAGGTATATAGATAGACAATGATAATTCTTTTATTCAGACTAAAAGAGTGCAGTGTATTTATTTGAAGGTATTTCTTTCACTCGGCGCTCAAAGTTACCATAGAAACTTTGTCGCGAGGTGATCATTTCATTGAATGTAATAAGTAAGAAAACTAATTCGGTCAATTTAAAAAAAATCTCCATCTGATACGCTCAATTTTATGTTTATTCAAATTGACCTATTAATCACTTGGACACGCATAAATAACGCAGGGGAATATACATACATGAAAAGAAAGAAGTTTAATATTTTGGCCGCTGCCGTTTAGTGGTCATTTTAAGATTTATTTAATGCTGCCGATTGTTATGCCGCTTTCATGGAAATTATTTCAAGATTTTCGACTAATTATCGCAAATGTATTCATTGAGTTTTGAGCCCAAAATTAAAAGATAAATACATCATGCGCATTCGATCTTTAAAAGACGACATTTGAAGTGGCATACAGAAAGACAACAACTATTGGATGTCATTGAACTGATTTGATAGACGCAAGTCACTAATAAATCACAAAAACAAGGGAACGGGGCTCTTATGAGAGGCATAGTGACGTACCAATCTGGAAAGCCACCTAACTATAATCTCATATTTGTGTGATTTTGTTAATTTGGATTGAAAGAATTATAGACTTGAATCGGAGAGTTTTTTTTCAGAAAATATATTGTATCCAGCATTATATTGAGGTATTTTCAGCCAGATCAGTTTGAGCATTCTTACAATCACCGCCTGACGTTTGCTGCCTATTTCAGATGGCCAAAAATATCTCAATATACCATTTAACAGCAACATCCGACGAACATGTACATTGTAAAAGTGAATAAAAAAAAAATCATCGAAATTGCATGCCAAAAGAAGTGACTTCTTTGAATGAATAATATAATCACATTATCGTCGACATACTCGTGTATGTAAATGCTAATTTTGTAGCAATTAAAACAAAATTTATTAGTCTGAAACATAAGGCGGACAAAATGTTGTTCGGTCAATGTGCTGATTGGCAAGGAACGAGCGAACCAACACACAGATAAAGAGTTGGGCTTCGTTCTATACACTGCTATTGCTCACACCAAAGGCGGCCAATTATGCGCTAATATCACCACAACGATGTTTGTCAATGTGCCGAATATTCTTTTTTTTATTGTAGAGAGACCACAATCGCATACCCATACACTCTCAATCAAAATAGCAGCTCACAATGATACCATCTCAATTCGCACACGAAGTTGCTTGCATTGCACATAATTGACAATATTCTTTTCTTTGTACGTAGTTGTTGATTTGTTTAAAACAATACGACGCAATTGTGCATACCGGTAAATATTGGTAGATATCAGCAGCCGATTATATTCGCACTGCGATTCACATTCAAATTTCATTTCAAGTTGGTGGCGAGCACACGTTCACCCTCTGTAGTGTTGCAATTTATATATATATATTCCGTTAGAATTCAATTTTTTATATTTGTAAAGTGTTTGAATTGTTTTGTTCGAAAACGATCGAAAAATTATTTGAAAACTATAAGAAAAATAAAACGAACACATAACACAGTTCAAATAATCGAAGAAAAAAATAATTAAATTAAATAACACAATGACGTCACTGTTCTACGAAGATCCAAAGCAAAAACTCAAATATGGAGATACGGAATTCGAATGGCGTTCATTGCTCAATACACCTTGCTATGGATTCAGCGGTCCAAATGCATGTTATTCAACAACATGCACACATAATGCACGAAAATTTTCTGAATCCGAGTTACAGCTCATAAAATCAAAGCAATCAACAAAATTTTACAATAAAAAAAAATCATCACCATTATTTGAACGTGCTGCTGACTACAATTCATACCGATCATCATTATTAACATTCGAAAGCTTCGGCCCCAAAAAGAATACATACGAAGGATATGAGTTCAATAGGTAAATATCAATTGATACATTAACTATTCGCATAAATACATTGAACATTTGCATGAGTTATGATTTGATTGTAATGTTTTCTCCCTTCTTATTGTCTCTTCCCCAAAAAAGCGATGCGTTTTTCAATACAGCATATTATGGAAATCACGTGTATGATAATTCACCGTTGCGAAAAACCGATGAGTTCAACCAAATGTATGAGTCGCCCAGCTATTATAGTCGGCCCGTTACGTGCAGCACACCGTTTGAAGAGAGCAACCATTCGACAGAATCGTCGGCCGAATCATCCGATGAGCGTATTTCGGTGAATTCATCACATGAAACTGTTGTGTCAACGAAAAAATATGCGTTCAATCCATTATCGGAGCCATTCCAACCAATGCGAAAATCGGATTCAAACACGAGCTCATCTACAACAAGTGTCACAACCGATTCGGTTGAATCAAGTCCAATCATTGCATCAACAACTGTCGAGTTGGAATCATCATGGAGAAATGCACTATCGAACGAAACGAAAGTTGGCAACTTCGTATGTATGTTATGTAACAAAAAATATTCAAACTTGGATGATTTAACAACTCACTTTCAAAACAAAGTGCATCTACCACATGTTTGTGAATATTGTGGTGTTTCTTTTGAGCATAGTTATTTATTAAATCGTCATGTAAAATCGCATCCCGGTGTTAGAAAATCATTCAAATGTCGTGGTTGTAACAAAAAATTCCGTAGCTTGAATCAATTGGCAAAACATTTCGAAGATTGCCGATTCAATTTGTACATGTTTACTTAAATATTTTCATCTTTTTTTTAGTATGTATTTTTTTTTTTATCAATTAGTGTTTGACTTAAATTTTTACATGAAACATTGTATATATCCCAGTTTAAGATTAGATATAAATTAATGATACCCTCGAAGTAAATTTGAGAACACAAACAAATGTGAACTTTAAAACAAAAGACCAGAAACAAAAAAATTTAATAAAAATTGAGGGTTTTATTCTCTTTTGTGAAAATTCGTATCGAAAAGCAACACACAGTTTTGTACATTGGTCACAATGACCTTTTATGTACACTTTTTATTGCGATAGAAAATTATAAACCATTGTCATACTTTCAAACTTTAGTATTTTTTCTATTATCAGTTATTGAGGGATAATTACTTCAGCAATCCAATAAAAGATGCATTTATTGTTTTATTACCTTTTTTTGCAAGTTTTTCCTACTAAAACTGTTTGTTTTTTTTATTTTTGTTTTGCTTTTACTATCTTTTCTTTTTTGAATGCAATTTGGTATGCAAAATTTAGCATAAACATATTCAAAATACTAGAAGCTACAGGTTTGTACTTTATCATGGTAATCTACAATTATGGCCCTGTGTCTCTATTTCTATTCTTTGTAGCTGCTACTATGTTCGGTTGTACGAAAGACGTCAACAATAAACAAGCTAATCGACAAAAAAACCGAGTACAGACTGATGGTATTTTCTTTGCTTTATTTGTTTAAATATCGCTTCGTTGCTGATGCGTTTGTTAATCTTGTTAGTAATTCTCGATATTGTCGTCTGTGTCTGCTTCAGCATTTTAGTTTTATTGCGGATGTTTTCGTTTTAATCCCCAACGTAATTTCCCTCCATAGTAAAACTTGGTGCTATTTTTCGTTGGCATTTTGGTCGGGTCTGAAGAATGCTTAACAGTTAATTTTCGTTACAGGTAAGAAAAAAAGAACATACTCTGGTGTGCATGAGAGATAGAGAAAAACTGTTGCTTTCATTTCTTGTAGCAGTAATTGTATGTCTTATTACAAACATCTAAACAATAGCAACCAAATGAACTTTGACTTTTTTTTTGTTAAAAAGTTACGTTAATAATTCGTTTGAATTTATTAAAGTCAGATTCTTTTGTTTGATTGCATTTCAAACCTTTTTTTCTCGCATTGTATGGCAATTGTTGTTCTTAAAACTGATTTTAAACAGAAACTGCATATAAATTGATTACATTGTTGATTTGTACAAGTTCAACGTAAGCCTTGCCACCATTTAAAGAAAAGAAGCGCTCTACTCTCGTTTTCGGTTCGCAGTAAAAGAAAATGTCAAGGAAAATATTGTTTTGTATACAACGATACAACGGTACATTGCCGGTATTGAGAGAAATGACGAATTAGTCCCACAATTACTATTTTGGTGATGCAGGAAAAGGCAAATGTAGTCATTTGCTGCCATTGAATTGATACCGAACCCGAATCACATACACAGACATTTTCAGCATACATATTTCTAAACTTTCGTAAATCTTGGTCCGCTGGTAACTCTCCCACATCATCATCATAATAACATTACAGTCATCGACCGTTCATAAAAAAAAAGGAAAACCCCAAACAAAAGGTCGGCATAGTAGTATAGTACATAATATATTTGGTCGACTTGACTTTGGTGTCTTGGCGCTTTGGATTCACTTCCACACAAAACTCAAATGAAAAATTACCGTAAATAACCTCAACCGTTTTATTTTTTCAAGTTTTTTCTCCTTCTTTTTGGTTAAGATAATAAACACAACAACAGCAGCGGCCACAACAACAACAATACAAAAAAAATGAAACCGGGAAAAACGATTTTCTTCATAGCCCATTTCTTATGTTATAGACAGTGAGTGGAGTGTGCCGACGGTCGCCACAGAATGAACCCAGCATCAATTGATGACGATGTTTTCGTGTTGATAATATGATAATGCCAAAAACCATTTGCTTCAATTTTGTTGTGAAAGGTCACGGTCGACTATTTTATACTATTTTCATTCAACTATTTTTGCCCTTTTTCCCGATTTTATTTTTATGCCAAAAAGTTTTATGAGCATTTTATTCTCTCGTCAAAATTAGGTCAATTCCCAATGCACGAATGTCTCATTCATTGAAAATTAACCTAGATGTGAAATTGATTTTTAGTGTGATTTTTTAATTCGAAAATTTAGCTGATTTATTCTCAATCAAACGAGGAATGAATAAGAGAACATTATATAATTTATTTCGCATTGTTTCAAAAATAAAGCCCAAGTTAAGGCGAATTAGCATACCAAAGTGCAATTTTTCGGTATTTTCATTGCCAATGACAGTCAATTATGAGCGGCAATATTTTTCATATACACATCGAACTGAATCAAACAAGTCGAAGGAATTCAATGAATTTTCCAAAAGTGTATTAAAAAAGAAGAATAATATTTGGATAATGTGTTCATATTGATTGTGATTTTTTAATAACCCTGCTTTATTCAGATGGCGTTTATCTGAAGTTTTATGACATCACAATGTATTTGAATAGTGCTCGACCCTTGCAATCAAATAATAGACGACAATTTAATATTTATTTTCAATTCTAATTATAAAAATTCGTGGATGACTCATATAGCATTGCGATCGGGCCAGATAATGCGAAGACATGATGAAGTGAAAGTGATACTTCCGTAAAATTAAAACTATGGAGCAATCAATCAAATGTCACTTACACTTGAAATAGCTTAAAATAGTCACGGCTTTTGACTTAGAAATTCATAAATGGAATGTATGTCGAAAAGATTGTTCGGTGAACCAATACTAACATGATTGTCTGTATCAAAAACTACTTATTGAATTGATGGTATAAATGTATTGGAATTTAGTGTGTATCTTTTATTCAAACCGTAAAATGCATTGTATTGTTTCGCCTAATCAGAATGGAAAAAGAATCAGCTATACACTGGCCTGTGTGAAAACTTGTATGTCGCCAAAGTGTCATTTGAGAGTCTGGTATCGAGAATAAAATTTACTTTGTTCATCGAACGGTATCGATAAATTATCGTATGCTTTTTTTATCAAACCAAATAATCTGAAAAGAAGATATAGAAGAAAGTAACAAAAGAAATAGACAATTTATTGCATTTCTACGATTGCCATAGACAGTGCACCCAACTGGTAATTGTGAAATGACTCGATCAGAATATAAATAATGGTTCAAAATGTATACAAAATGCTATAGCCACTTGCTCCAAGCAAAACATACACAAGAATTTGTTAGAATATTTTCATTCGCATCAGAACACATTGTTATTCCCTGTGATTCGAATAAAATGACATAAATTGTCGGTCGGTCGGCCAAAATGTATTTATACACACAAAATCTCTCTGGATTATTTTCGGATATTTTTTTTTACCTGAACATCATTTCAGCTCACAAATCGTTATTTCTAATTTGCACTTTCTACTTTATCCACAGATTCTCTGTATAGAAACGAATGAAAAAAAGGATCAGACGCCGTAAATATGTGCGTATGTGTGTGCACTTATTGCATTCCTTCTATGCTTTTTACAGATATACAGTAGATTAATACACATAATCAACATGGTATTACAAGTATTCTAGTTGGTACGTAATTTGCCTTGAAATTTGATTCTCTATGGATGAATTAATAATTTTAATTCTTTTCGGCTAGAAAAATTGAGAAATGTATGATCACTAACGCAACAAAATTGGGCAATGGAAATTTGAAAAGCAGTTCAAATAGATAAAAAAAGATATTTCAAAAATTATTATGCTTCTGCGGCATTTTTGAGGTTTAAATACAAAAATGAACCGTATTTTAATATATGGAAGCAGAGATAATTATCGGTAAATGTGCAGAATTTTAGCAAGATTTCAATCTATACGCTTGAGTAGTCATGATTATTATGTTTTTTTCTCTCTTCATGGATTATCATGCGGAGATCGAATTAACTCAAACATTAACGTATTAGATACAATGTAAATGAAATGAATTACAAAAATGAAAGTGGGGCTGAATGGAATTCATTTTTTTTTTGTATTTGCAAATATGTAAACTACATATCAAGCTATAAAAATTAAACAATATTTAAATAAAATTCCATGCATAAGAACAATGATAGTAAAATGTATCGAATGTCAACAGGGAATTTGATTGTGAAAAAGCTTCTAAACGCCTACACATCTATACATATATTTGAATAAATTTTGGCATTTAATTAAATTCCAATTTTTGGCTAGAACGAGATTTAATATTTTAATTGGAGGGTTTGAAAAGGCCAAGCCGCCGGCTTTGGCTTCTGTCTCGATTCAATAATAAGGAAATGAAAAATTCCATTAAATCCAATATCCAATTTAATGCATTCCGCTAGTGAAAGTAATAAAAGCGTAATAGTGTCTGTGTGTATATGTAGCGATAGCCGATTGAATCTCATCCCACAGCGCTATCTGGGTTATTTATTACATGCATGTTAAATACGTTGCTAAAAGTGAAATTAAAAGCCTTTTCTCTCATCCTCCCGCTTGTGTTCCTCTTTGCTTGGCAACCTCACCGTGTACACATACATATACTTCGAATGGACGAAATTTCTCTTTGATTCCTTCGCCAATCTATATATTATGGTATGGAATCTGATGGCGTTGCGTGGAGTGTGTGTACGATTTAGGCATGAGGGGCATATATGCAAAGTATTACAAATATTAGCATCATTTACGTTGGTGGTGCTACTGTATTGTTATTGTTGTTATTACTAATGCTGTGCCGAAAATAGCTGACTCTTGAATTTTCATCTTGCCGTCAAGATAATGGAATTTAATTTATTTTTCTGCTAGCCAAACACATAACGAAATACGAGATATAAACAATACAGCAGCTAAAGCAACGATGGAAATCACTATCGTTGTGTGACCATCACATTCGATCATATATGTAGTCCTGCACTGAGATGTTTCTACTTCGTTTTGGAAAACGTTACGCATAGCGCACATTATTTTGAATACAGCGAGTGTGAGAGGGTGGGAGAGTGAGAAAAAATCACATATACACTAGACGTCGACGTGCGCTCGTGTATTTTTGGGATAAAATGTAATTTTTGGCATGTGTAGTGAAAGTGTGTGCACTATATTCGGCTGTTGGCTATGCTTATTGTGTGCATGATTTTTGTAAAACTGTCCATATATTTTCCATATATGTGTAACTTTGCAGCTATTGGAATTATGTAAAACATTTTGTTTTTCACTTGAAAATCCATGTAAATAAGTGACGGTGAGTGATTTTCATATGTTAAATCTTTATGTGTATGTGCGTCGTTTTCTCTAGTTTTTTTTCCTTTC